GCCTCTTTCTCCTCTCCTTCTCTTTCTTCTTCTCTCTTCTTTGCCCTATGCGCCTCCCTCATTCCATCTCTTCTTCGCTTTACTCTTCTCTATCCTCCGTCCCTTACTCCGTAAATCATCGCCGTCGGTTATCACTGTGAGAAACATTTATCTCTTCATCAATTTGGGCTAGGGTTAGGGTTTCAAGGGTGGTGGTTGGGTTCCGAAAAGGGTTTCTAGGTTTTGAGTGGTTGGGTTGCAAAAGGTGGCTAGGTTTTGGCTGCTGGGGCTTTGACGGGTGGCTAAGGCATCGGTGTTAGCTGGCAGGGAGGAGGGGGTATTGGCCGGCATTAGGGCTTCGAGTGTGTGGGGAGGGGTTGGGCGTTACGGTGGTTAGGGAAGGGGAAGGGAGGGAGTTCGGGGTGGCGTCGGCGCCGAGGGAAGGGGTCATGGTCGCGCCAACACTGGGGAAAGGGGGTCTGGGTGCGCTGGCGACGAGGGCAGCGGGTTCAGCAGGTGTCGGCTGCTGTGGGTGGCTGTTGGTTGGTGGTTTTCTATTTTTTGTTTTTAGTTACTTATGGTTAACCAAAAATTTAAAAAGTTAGCCATAAAATAAAAAATTGGGTACTATGCTTAATTTTTCAAAACCTTGGTGCCACTTAAGAGAGTTGGAAAAAAGTTCGTCTTCCACGTAGAAAAATTAAATCCATGAAGCCACCATGTAAAATTCCCATTTTATTTTAAGATTACTTCAAAAATAAAAGATGTTTTAAGAAACTTTAATTTTATAATAAGACGATTTTAGAAATAAAGTCTTTTTATAAATTTTATAAACACTTTAAATCTTCTTGTAACACAAGAATGAATAGTCTCATATAAAATAGTGTTGTGTTTGTATTTAAAATTTCAACGTCCATTTCAAAAAATAAATGTTCAAATTCGAGTAGTGTCATGTTCATATTGTTCATTATAAAATAATATAATGATTATATTTAAAATTTCAATGTTTATTTTCAAATTTATATGTTTAAATTCTAATAGTGTCATATTCATATTTTATATGTTCATTTTAAGAAACTGTAGTTTAAAACTTTATTTATATAATTGTTGATTAAAATAGATCATTTTAATTCTTTATAAAAAATTTTATGTTCATTATAATACACTAAAGGTTCATTTTATATATCAAATCCCAATTGAAGTTCATAATTCCTAAGCTCAAATTAACTTTATGTTCATATAACGATCTAACTCAAATGTTCATAAAAAACACACACACGCACGCACGCATACACGCACACATATATATTATATTATATAATCCCAATTGAGGTTCATAATTGCTTAATCCTAATTAACTTATGTTTATATATCGATTTAACTTAAATGTTCCTAAAAAACACACACATATACAAATAAGACCGAGTTATAATGAGAACCTCATGAATAATGAGAACTGAGAACGGATAGGGACCGTTAGATCTTAATGAGATCAACGACTTTGATAAATCGTATTTTTTCCTTTTTTTTGCAACACGAACTACTTTCTCTCTCTTCAAGAACGTACTGCTGCTGCTCTCTCTCTCTTCTGGTTTTGCGATTACGATTCAACTTTTTGACTCAAATTCAGGTATGTTTTCAGTTCCACATTTTGATTTCTTTCTCTTTCGATTTTTTTTTCGTCAATTTATTGCTCGATTGTGATAAACCTACTATCTTTTTCGAATTCTGGCGAACTCCTATTTAAATTCCAAATTTAGGTAGGTTTATTTCACTAATTTTGTTCTTAAATTTTATCATACTATATACGAAGTCAATTGAATTCTTGATTTATAGAAATATTAAGGAAATACTACTATTTAATTGATAATTTTTATGATCATAATTTGATTTTCTACAAGATTTGATTCTCCATGTTCTGCTGTTTTTTTTTGCGATTTTCTTAGACTTCTTTTGTTTTGTAATTTTTCCAGTTCATTTTTGCGGATTCCTACGATTTTTGTTAGTATTAATTGTGGTATATTTGTATATATTGATTAAATGGATAAAGCCAAGGTTATGATGCTTGATAGTCCAATATTCTCTAGTCTCCACCTTTCATTGCACATATGTTTTCATACATTGATGAGTACATTTAAATGACCTTGAATAAGTAAACTAAATTCCTAATCTTAAAGTAAATTAGATATCCTTAAAAGTAGACTAAATTGATCCTAAAGTAGATAAAGTTTTTTTCTAGCAAGTTAGCAATTGCAAATGAGAATCTCAATTTGAGTGCATTTTGACTGAGTTTCTCACTGACTAGCATGTTTGTTTAACTTCTTGATGAAACATTAATTAAAAGAGTTCTGCCAGCTACTAATTTATAAACATAAAGGCACTATTATAAGATCTAGGAGTTTGTTTACTATTGGTTTCTAACGATTGCCCTGTATCATCATTTGCAGTGCGCTTCAAGTAGATAGCAGCTAAGACAAGTTGGTCTCCTTCCATCTTGGCTGAGTATAGGATGAGAATGGGCAGGTTCTGCCTGCAAGAGTCAGGTGAGGCCAATAAAAGTGGGGAGCAAGTAAAAGTAAATCAATTAAATTTTAAAGTAAATTGAAAGACTGAATTTATGTACATTGAAGCATGCCGAAGATACTTAGTATCCGGGCATATGTACATCTGAATTTATCGGCATCCGGGCATATGTACATCTGAAGCATGCCGAAGATACTTAGTTCACTTCAAATCTTTCACCTGGAAGCAGAGTAATTCTACTGTCTGGGCTGGTTGGTATATGATCCTTCTGTTTCTTACAGTAATTTTATATTTTGCTATGTTATCTTCTGATAAATGTTAGGTTTTTGATCTTCTCTTGCAGAACTTTACCAGCAATTGCTTGCTAAAGCATTGGCACGCTACTATGATTCTAGGTTGCTGCTATTGGATGTTGCTGACTTCTCCATGACGGTGATTATTTCACCATTAGATTGAATAGACATGTTAATAATTTGTTGAATTTGTACAAATGTTTATATATGGTTTTTGGTACTTGCAAACGCAAAACAAGTATGGTTGCAACAAAAAGGAACATGTAAGCTCCGCCTTCACTATTACAACTTTAAAGTGAATAATCTGTGATATGTATTGAGCAATTAAAAAATGTAGCTTGTATTTGCTCTTATCACAGTGAAATGGAATGATTTACTGCCTCGTGTATGGTATAGTTTAAACTCTAGTTGCATTCTATTATTTGATAATCTTATCCTCTTACAGTAGATATAAATTTTATAAAAGTAAACTAATTGAATTCAAAAGTAAAAGCTCAATCAAATGCCAAATATAAAGTCTCGAGTTTGTGCTAATTGGTGCTAAAGGATTTTGGTGTGGAAGTTGAGGATGTGATCAAAAGGGCTATGATTCTGCTGCTTTCTGTCAACCAAATAAAAAAAAAGGTACTGTTTATTTAGTACTGTTTATCCTTGTCATTTCCAAAAGATTTTAACTCCTCAGGATCCAATTTACTCAGTGAACTGTAAAGCCGCGTTTCATCAGTATTGTTTATCGGCAGTATATTTCCCATAGTAACATTATTAATTTCCAAAGTCTTATTGACAATGGTGTTACTGTTACACTTCTGTTGAAGGAGCTCGTGGAGTTCCAACTGTATAAATAGAGTGCAACGACTGTCGTTCCTGAATTATATTAGCTGAAGAAGAGATAGAAGACGTGGTGGAAATTCTTTCAGCATCAGAAAGTCTTCTACTTTGATTATGATGATGTGAAATCGAACCCCTCGGAGTTTCCACATTAGACTTTATAGTTGGAGTAACAGATTTTTCTGTCCAACTTTTTTCAGGTCTGCATTTAGTAGCACCAACAGCAGCAGAAGCGTCAACTGGCTTGCCCTGGTTTTTTATTTCAGTCACATTCTTACTGTTCGTAGTCAAAGGCAGAGAACGGAATGAGAACCTCCTAGAGCAAAGACTACGACGTCGAAATGAGCTGCCTATGAAGCTGCAGGCATTGCCAGACGACTCAACCATGTATGTACTGATGGTTTATTGGATGTAGTGGCTCTTGACATTTCAAGTCTTCCTTAATAAGACGAGTTGGTTGTTGTCGTGGCAAAATCCTTGGCTGCAAGAATGAGAATGGTGTTGCTAGAAGAATGGGATGTCAATATATGGAGTTCGAGTATGATGTTGTGTTTGTTGTGCATTTGAATCATAGGTTTTCATTAAACCTTTTGTCCTCAAGACTAGTAATTGTCTAATTTCATAGAACGATCATAATCCTAAGTGATCTCTAAAGTAAATAAAAAAGAATATAAAGTAAATAAAAAAGACTTTAAAGTAAACCTATTAGCTCAAGTGGTAAAGCACTATGTATAGAGGTGTAGGTTTGATTCCTACATAGGTTATCTCTACAAAATATAACACACACTAAAGTAACTCAAAATTTCACAAAAGTAAATTAAAATAACTCTAAAGTAAATCACATAAGCTCTAAAGTATACGAACAATAAATTAGCTTTAAATGATTAATAACTATAGAAACTTTGTTATAGCACAAAAACTCTAAGTCATTGACTTTCATATTCTTACAAGATTAGTCAAATTATAAGAAACAAATATATTGAGTTCAATGTAGAGGTTTTCAAATTAAAAGTAAATAAAACTATATCGAAAGTAAACAATAAAAGAAGAAATCTAATAAAACATATAAATAACTAAAATAAACTTTTATACAAAGTTTAATCTTTAGATTACACAAATGAACCTACATGGGATTTGAACCCACATCTTTTGTGCAATTGCACAATACTCTATCGATTGAGCTAGTGGGCTAGTGTTATCAATCAATTTAAGTAGTACTATTGGTATAGAGAAAATAAGTCATGCAAATGAAGAATTGAGCTTGTAGGCTAGTCTATGTAAAACATTCATAATAAATAAAAAATTACTCAAAAGTAAACCAAATAATCTTAAAAGTAAATAAAATAACCTATAAAGTAACTGCAATAAAGACTTTGGTTATGGTAACATAGTTTTGTTCTTTTATTTCGTATCTGGGTAGGGGTTGGAGTTGGAGATGGGGCATGTCACTGTTTGGTGATAAAGTGTTGAACTCAAAATACCTCAGCTCAAAAGTAAATAAAAAAGGCTATAAAGTAAATTAAAACATCATTAAAGTAAATAAATAATATTACTTCTGCTCATGCTTCTGCTGTTCCTCCTGCATAGGCTGCACTCTTGCTCACAGCAGCTTCCCGTTTCGCTAAACTTTAAGAACTCCCGAGCAGCAGGCAGCAGAGCAAAAGTAGCATAGCAGCAGCAGGCGGTAGAGCAGAAATAGCATAGCAGCAGCAAGCCATGGCAGGGAAGCAGCTGCAGCAACAGTCTAGGCAGGGCCAGCAGCTGTAGCAGCAGCCTAGGCCGGGCCAACAGCAGCACTCAACCCGATCATTTTTCGGGCTGATCTTCACATGTTCAATTGTGAAAAATCAACTTGATCTTGATGACGTGATCAACATCAAGTGAGTGAGGCATTGCAGCATTAATGGGGAGCCATCATCATAACTAGAAGACGTAGAAAACATACTCTCTTCTAAGGAAATTTTACAGTAATTCATTATAAATAAATCAATATATCTCAAAGTAAATCAATATATCCATAAAGTAAATAAAACAAAATAAAATGTAAATTCAAATATCTCTAAAGTATATAAGCAATCACCTGCACCCTTTAATAAGCATTTTAACACCATACTTATTGAATCCTAAGATGACATAACACTATAACAACATGATCAAATAATCAAATAATACAGAAATTTTAACACACCAGTAGTACACCAAAAGTAGATGTATTAATCCACATAACTACACACCCTCATGATGCCAAGCTCAAACTGCCACACAACTACAACACCCTTGTCTAGGATGCCTAACAATATAGATGTATTAATCCAGGCTCAAACAGCTCATAATTCATGCACCGTGAATGTTAGGCCAATTCAAAAGTAAATAGAAAATAGTCAAAAGTAAATCAAAATAACTTAGAAACAATACCAAAACAACTATGCAAAACTAGTTACTATGTGGGCAGAGAATTAGGATAATCACTTTTTTTTAAATTATTTGTAATGCCAATCACACCCGAGCTGCAACCTAGCATAACATTCATTCCATTAAGTCAGGCATTTTATTGAACACTTAGCGTGCAACAAGTTAAATCAATAAAAAACCCAAAACTGTAAAGGCTATTTAGTTTACTTTGATTTCTTATCAACTTAAAAATGTAAGCTGCAAATTCAAGCTGGAATTTGATAAGAAATTTGATCTAATAGATTGACACAGAAGACTAAACTATTGTATTAAGACATTTTTCTATGCTTAAAAGCTAAAAGTGAATTTGCAATTGAAGTAAAAAAGTAAAAACTTAGAAATCATAAAATTGAACAAAATTCACAAAGTTTACCTGTTATTTTAAGAGTTCTCAACATAAATTCAGTAAATTACACAAGAAAATCAATGATTTGGATCAAATTTCAGGCATTACTTCAGATTCGAGTAAATGACGGATAGGAAAGCGAAATTCAATAACGAAATTGCAAATGAGGAAACATATAATTGTAAAAGCCCTAATATATCAACTGAAATCACATACTCAAACAAATGATTGGGAAAACCCTAATTTTGCTATCAAAAACGCAAAAATTTGATTTAAAATCGAACTAAATCAAAGAAAGCATTGTTAATTACAATCGAATCAACTTACCTGCCCATCAACTTGCTTGAAGAATGCACGAAGATGAGAAGATGAAAATTGATGCCGTGCGGAAAGATTAGAGGAATTGCAAGAGAAGAGTGAGTTTGCAGGAGAAGAGAGAAAACAAATTCTAGAGAGAGAAAATGCGGAAGAAGAGAGAGAGAAAATGAACAGCGCATGAGTTAGGACGAAGGTCATTCAATGCATAAATTACAAAAATGCCATTAATGAGGCGGGTGGAATGTGAGCCATTAGATTAAGCGCGATCAATAGTCTAGATGAGTTCCTAATTCCTATTATAGACGCTACATGAAAAGAGCAAATTGGCAACGGTTCAAACCCCCCCATAGGCAACGATTTTGAACTGTTGCGTATTTGAGGGTTGCCAAATCCAAAAATAATTGGCAATGGTTCAAAACCGTTGCCAACTCAAGAAATTGGCAACGGTTAGCCGTTGCCAAATACATTGCTGCCTTTTTTTTTTTTTTTAAATATTGGCAACGGTTAACCGTTGCTATTGACCTGTTTTTTTGTTTTTTTGGCTGCAATATTATTAATATTATAATATTAATATTAATAATAATAATAATAATTATTATTATTATAATAGTAATAATAATAATAATTATTATGATAATAGTAACAATAATTAGTATTATTAATAACAAAACATAAATAATAGTAACAATCGCAAGAGATGATATATATATGAAAAATGTTTCATGTTACCTACAAACAATTTTAATTAGTTATAATAATGTATAGTACATAATTAGTAAGCTAAGGCTAGGATTGATGAATGAAGTAGCTAGCTAGTAAACGATATTTACAAATTAAATGTGATGTAGGTCGCCAACATCTCTCGAATTACATGGAGTTCCTCGCTCGTGTATGGCTGTCCCGTTTTCCCCTTGCAAAACTTAGAATACACAAAACGTGAGTTTGTAGAAGTGAATTAATAATAATTGGGGTTAGTTAGTAGGAATGACCCGAACAAAACTTGAAATACTACACAAAACGTAAGTGAACTCATACTTAGCTTACTCATAATAATAACATGACATTATTACTTAGTTATATGTGACTAAGGAATGAAATTACAAGAAAATAGCAATATGAGGGTTTAAGTCGCATTTTCGATCAAAATAGCCCAAGGAAGGCCATTTTGGCTTCTATGATGCCTATTTTCTATAACTCTTGTCTATTGAACTCATAACTAGTTAAAACATGTCATTATCACTTAGTTATAGGTGACTAATGCTTGAGATTACAAGAAAATAGCAAGTAAGATGTTTTAAGACGCAATTTCAACCAAAATGGCTCAAGTAAGGCCATTTTGGCTACTAGGATGCCTATTTTCTATAATTTTTGTCTATTGAACTCATAACTAGTTAAAACATGTCATAATCACTTAGTTATAGGTGACTAATGCTTGAGATTACAAGAAAAGAGCAAGTAAGAGGTTTTAGGACGCAATTTCAACCAAAATGGCTCAAGTAGGCCATTTTGGCTTCTAGGATGCCTATTTTCTATATATCTTGTCTATTGAACTCATAAATAGTTAAAACATGTCATAATCACTTAGTTATAGGTGCCTAATGCTTGAGATTACAAGAAAAGAGCAAGTAAGAGGTTTTGGGACGCAATTTCAACCAAAATGGCTCAATTAAGGCCATTTTGGCTACTAAGATGCCTATTTTCTATATTTCTTGTCTATTGAACTCATAAATAGTTAAAACATGTCATAATCACTTAGTTATAGGTGACTAATGCTTGAGATTACAAGAAAATAGCAAGTAAGATGTTTTGGGACGCAATTTCAACTAAAATGGCTCAAGTAAGGCAACTAAACTGGGAAAACAAATGAACTTGACTAGCATAATCAGACGTACTTCTCATAATACGGGACGAATATAAACTTGTCTCCCGCATTCACTGATTTCCTGATACCCCGTTCAGCATAGTACAACACGTCAGCGGAGTTGCCTAAGATTCTAGCAGTGGACATCTGCTCAGGGCATGACCACCCAACTTGACAAGGAGATTCAAGCTCCCATATTTGCTCCTGGAGTGCTCTGCATGCATGATAACAAAATGTTAATCGAAAACCAAACGACAAACACCACTAAACTGAATAACATAAATTGAGTACAAGTTGAATTACCTCATGCATATTTGAATGAGGGAAATGTTAAGCATTGCACCGCTTAGAAATTCCTTCACATCTTCTTCGAATAGCCATGCCGTTGCATCATCATCGTAGTGGAACATTTACTTAGGAAGTTGAATTTGGATGGGGTTGTCATTAGGCAACACGCAAACACGGTTGTGCAAATAAGCTAACTCTTGAGATAGCGATTGAAGCACCGTGTCTTCAACTAATGGAGTAGCTTGCGCAGCTGAACCTCGTGAGCTTGCCTTCATCGACGCTTTTCCACTCACCGAGCCATGTTCACTCCTCTCCTTTGGCCCCTCCACCCTCTTATTTGGAGTTTGGCTTTTCCTCGATGGCTAATAAGACAAATAACACAAATGGTTAGAAAAAATTTCCATCCAACTCTTGGGAAGAAAATCGGGTATAGATTAAAGCATGAAATCTAAATCTTAATTACCTGGTTCATCAACCGTATCCAAGTGGATGGCCATTGCACAAAACTACCTTTTGCTGCCCAGAGTGTAGTGTACTCATCCTCCTCCACGGGCACAGGTATTAAGATGTCCTCGAACCCGGGAACCACCGAATGGATCCCGACAGAATAATGCTCAGGCAGAAGAGGTCGCAAATGGACCGTACCTTGTTCGGCCGGTTGTGCACTACCATAGGCAACAACTTCCAAAGGTCCATCAAATGATTCGCCCGGGTGAAGAAGTTCACAACGGGTCTCTTCCTACACCAATTAGGAAGATACTTCATTTAAATATTCATAACTAAGTATCTTAGGTGTAATATAGGAGTTAATTCAAACATTGAGCTAAAATCATGAAAAATGGGCAAGTTAGAAGTCATTTTGCCCATTTTGAACCGTAAATACTCTAAATGAACCTAAAACTTGTAAATTTGCTTTTTTTATATTGTTTCAAGCCATAAATGTTCATAACTAAGTATCTTAGGTATAATATAGGAGTTAATTCAAGCATTGAGCTAAAATCATGAAAAATGGGCAAGTTAGAAGTCATTTCGCCCATTTTGAACCGTAAATACTCTAAATGAACCTAAAATTTGTAAATTTGCTTTTTTTATATTGTTTCAAGCCATAAATATTCATAACTAAGTATCTTAGGTTCTTGCTAAAAAAAAAGGAAAAAAAAAAACAAAACAAGTGCAGAAAAAAAAAAAAGAAAAACCGGGCGGGAAGGGTAGCAGCTGCACCGCTGCTGCAGGCTGCACAGCTGCTGCGCGGCTGCGCGGCTGCACAGCTGCTGTGAGCCTGCACAACAGCAACAGCAAAACCAGCAACAGCAACAGCAACACAACAGCAAGATAACAGCAACAGCAACATACAACAACACAACAGCAACAGTAACAGCAACAGCAACACAACAGGAACATCAACATTCAACAACACAACAGCAACAGTAACAGCAACAACAACACAACAGGAACATCAACATACAACAACACAACAGCAACAACAACACAGCAGCAACAACAACATACAACAACACAACAGCAACAACAACACAACAGCAACAGCAACATACAACAACAGCAACAGCAACACAACAACAACAGTAAAACCAGCAACAGCAAAATACAGCAACGTCTACAGTTAGCCGTCACTTTGACCAAGATCGAACAAACACCACCAACAACGACAACACAAACAACAACGACAACACAAACACAACACAATCCAAAAAAGTAAGTAAAAAATCACCTGTAGAATAGGAAAGTCATGAGGTGTCGGAGTATCAAGCCCCCTTGAGTACGCATGTGAAGGAGTACCAATCTGCAATAGTGTATTGATAGTGAAACATTAATTAGAACCGTACCCACGTAACTCAAACATATCAAAACTTATAGAGTTGAATTCTAATCATGTACCTCCTCGCGTGCATTTATCTCTTGTTCTCCTTCTCTTCGTGGGTGGCTACTTGAGTCGACCGGTGTTGTCGAGGAAAAGGGCATGGTCGGCAAATTCATTTGCTTCGCCCATGCATTGAACTCTTCGCGCATCTCATTGCGCACTTCTTCTTTAATTGATGCTACCGTGGCATCGAAGTTCTGTGGCGAGTTCACACTTGCTCGGGATCTTCTAGATTTGGTATATTCGGGACCCATTACCTTCTCCCATCCTAGCAAGCTCCCCCCAGCACCTAATACTCGTCCCGGATGGTAGGGCTTTCCCACAGCCAAGGTGAAGGGGTCCTTCTCTACCGTCGGGACGAGCTTGCCTTCAACAAGCTCTCCAGTGTACTCAAGCTTTAGCAAAAACAAAATGGCAACATGAAGTAAGTGTTTATATAAAGTGATAAAAATGCAAATGAATAATGTAGTTCACTAGTTCATAGTTGCTTACTAGCTTATCTGTCATTTGTTTGGTTTCCGGAGCCTTGATGGACCATTTTCCGGTTTTCTTGTCCCGCGAATGCATAGAGCAAAAGAAATCCCCAGCACGACTCATCAAAGTACTGGTCGTGGAGTCAGATGGCGCTATGGAGGACCCTAGAAGCGCAGTGGGGTATACTCCTTCACTCACCCACGTATCCCTCCATTCATCATACGTCATTGCTCCCATATGATGGTGGTATTGCTTTTTCAATGCATTCCGGGAATTCTGCTCACTCATTTCCTACATAAAAAGATATGTTAGTTTCATTACTAATAAAAAAGACGATAAATTACAACACAATTTTCATCAGAGTTCTTTAAACTTACAATTTCTTCTTTTTTACATTTTTGAAGAACGAAAGCTTCCCAATCATCCTTCGAGATGCTAGGCCATATTTGCCATGGGAGTTTCTCTTCATCGATGACATCATCATCACTGGCATCTCCTTTCTTGTTCTTTGGTTTCCTCACAAGTTTCTTTGTGATAAACCGACGAACTAAGTTACACTTGAAGCTTCTGAATCTTGCCGCAAGTAAGGATTCAAACACCCTTCGCTTGGCGTACTCATTTGGAATGTTAAATAGACTCTGCCAGCACAAATAACAAACATTATTAGTTTGCCCATAACATAACAATAAATTGAAATTGTTTATAAATAATGTGGAATAAAAAAATCTTACCCTGGTATCATTCTAAAACGTGTCAATCAAGCCTGTAGGTACGTCGCTCATACGAAGCGTAATGGGGATTTTGCGCGCACAAATCCCAACTTGACCAGCATACTGACGACGCCATTTACCTGAGGGTTGGCCTACCCTGTCATACTCTAAGACCATAGGACCGACAGGTTTCTTGAAAGC